TTCAAATTGTTTTATTTAATTATTGAATTATTCATTTATTTATTTTATTTGTTTTATTCGAATTATCAACTTTCAATGTAATTCGAATACTCAAATCCATAATAATAATAATAATAATAATAATAACGAGTAAAACAAATAATTCGAATAAATCTTATTCAATAGTTGTATATAGTGATTTTAGTTTAGTTTGCCAGATTTGGTGACTCCATAATAAATAACTCTTGCAATACTTCTTATATACGCCATAAATAATTATAGCATTATGGCCTATGACTTACGATATTAGTATTAGTGCAAAATTTATCTACGTAATTGTTGTACATATATTTTTTGTGTGATACATTATTTATTTGTTGCAAAAATAATTTTTTTTATAACAAATATATAATAAAAAACCACAATGGAAAACACTTTGGATGAAAATAAACATCATGATGAATATTCTGATAAAAGGAAAAATTATTTTGGGAGATGTCCGACTTGCAATAGATATAATACTCAATTGGCATGGTGTCAATCATGTGATCCAAAGATATTAACCAAAGGATGGACTAGTGGCAATAAAACATTAGATGAGTTGATTAAAAGTACACAACTTGAAGCAACTAGTTATGATAATAATTATTATCTTCAATGGATTCCTTATAATGATTTAACAAATATTGGAAAGATAGGTGAAGGTGGGTTTGCAACTATATCTAAAGCTACTTGGTTAAATGGTAAGAAATGTGTAAATGATGATAATGAAAAAACTAGCAAGGATATGCCAGTGGCATTAAAAAAAACACATAGTTTGCAGAACATTTCTGATGAATTACTTAATGAGGTAAATTATTTTATTTTTCTATTTATTTTTTGATTTTTTAAATATTATTTTTAAATATTTTTTTATATAGCTTAGAAATTATGTTACATTTTATGGTGAATCATTTATAAATAAAACTTATGGATTAACACAAGATCCAGCTACAAAAGAATATATCTTTGTAATGGATTATATAGAAGATGGAAGTCTTCAAAATTATGAAGGTCCATATAAAAGATATGAAAAATATGGGAAATGTCCATTCTGCGATAGATATAATACTGATTGGACATGGTGCCAATCATGCAATCCAAAGCTATTAACTAGAGGATGGACTAGTGGCAATAAAACATTAGATGAATTGATTAAAAGCACACAACTTAAAGCAACTAAGTATCACTATAGTAATCATCTTCAATGGATTCCTTATAATGATTTAACAAATCCTGAAAAGATAAATGAAGGTGAGTTTGCAACTATATCCAAAGCCACTTGGCTAAATGGTTATAAAAGTGTAGATTATTGTAATAATGAAAGAACTAGTAAAGATATGCCTGTGGCATTAAAAAAATTACATAATTCACAGAATATTTCTGATGAATTTCTTAATGAGGTAAATTATTTTATTGATACTAGTTTTAAAATGTATTGATTATTATTATTATTATTATTATAATTAAATATTTTATTTGTTATTTTAGCTTAAAAATTATACAAAGTTTCATGATAAAATTTATATTTATGGATTAACACAAGATCCAGCTACAAAAGAATATATCTCTGTAATGCATTACATGGAAGATGGAAGTCTTCAAAATGATGAATATTCAAAGAAAAGAAAGGAACATTTTGGGGAATGTCCAACCTGCAATAAATATAATACTAATAGTTTATGGTGTCAATCATGTGATCCAAAGCTATTAACTGAAGGGTGGACTAGTGGCAATGAAGCATTGGATAAGTTGATTAAAAGCACTCAACATAAAGCAAAAAATTATGATAATAATTATTATCTTCAATGGATTACTTACAACAATCTAACAAATATTGAAAAGATGGATGGAAGTAGTGTTGCAACTATATACAAAGCTACTTGGTTAAATGGTAAGAAATGTGTAAATAATCATTATAAAAGAATTAGCAAGAATATGACTGTGGCATTAAAAAAATTACATGATTCACAGAACATTTCTGACGAATTTCTTAATGAGGTAAAATAACTTTGCTTTTCTATTACTTTCTGATTTTTTAAATATTATTCTGAAATATTTTTAGTTCAGAAATTATGTTACATTTTATGGTGAACCATTTATAAATAAAATTTATGGATTAACACAAGATCCAATTACAAAAGAATATATCTTTGTAATGGATTATATAGAAGATGGAAGTCTTCAAGATTATGAAGATCCATATAAAAGATATGAAAAATATGGGAAATGTCCAATCTGTGATAGATATAATACTGATTGGACATGGTGTCAATCATGCAATCCAAAGTTATTAACTGAAGGATGGACCAGTGGCAATGAAACATTAGATGAATTGATTAAAAGTACACAACTTAAAGCAACTCAATATTATAATTATTATTATCTTCAATGGATTCCTTATAATGATTTAAGAAATCTTGAAAAGATAGATAAAGGTGGGTTTGCAACTATATCCAAAGCTACTTGGTTAAATGGCAAGAAAAGTCTAAATGATGATAATAATAAAAGAATTAGTAAAGACAGAATTGTGGCATTAAAAAAATTACATAATTCACAGAATATTTCTGATGAATTTCTTAATGAGGTAAATTTTTTTATTAATACTAGTTTTAAAATATTGTTATTTATTATTGTTGCAATTAAGCATCTTATTTGTTGTTTTTAGTTTAAAAATTATATGAAGTTTCATGATAAAAGAGATATAATTCATATTTATGGATTAACACAAGATCCAATTACCAAAGAATATATATTTGTAATGGCATATATGGAAGATGGAAACCTTCAAACTTATTTAACTAAAAATTTTAAAAATTTCAAATGGAGAGACAAAATTGAAATTCTTTATTTTATTATTAAAGGTTTAAAAAATATTCATGAAAAAGAAATTATTCATCATGATCTTCATAGTGGAAATATTCTTCAAGATATATGGGGTTCATGGATTGCAGATTTAGGATTATCATGCCCAGTTAGTCAAACATCATCAAACAAAAAGGATATATGTGGAGTACTACCATATATTGCACCAGAAGTTTTAAAAGAGAAACCATATACGATGGCATCAGATGTATACAGTTTTGGAGTTCTGATGTCTGTAGTATCAACTGGCCAACAACCATTTAATAATTTGGCACATGATATAGATCTTGCAATGAAAATATGTGGAGGTGCAAGACCTGGATTCTCTAACAACACTCCAAGATTCTATATTGAACTAGCATTCAAATGCATGGATGCTAATCCAGATAAACGTCCAACTGCTAAAGAGATTTTTAAGATTATTGAAACTTGGTGGGATTCACTTGCAAAAATACAGCAGCAGGATAAATTAATTAGAAAAGAGTTTAAAAAAATGGATGAAATAAAATTTGATCCTTCAACAATTACTACAGTAATTCATCCAGATGCAGTTTATACTAGCAGATTATTAAAATTTACAAACCTTCCTCAACCTGTGAATTCCAATAAAGTAACAATTATTGGTAATAACAATGGTAATTATTAGCATTCAATCATTGATCGCTTTCGTTTTTATTAATTTTTGATTTTTAAAATTAACAATATTTATTAATATCCACTCTTATGATAAACATTTTGTAGATTCTAAACAAATTGAATTGTCTATTTTTGTAGATTCTAAACAGATTGAATTAACTATACCAGATGAATTACCTGAATAAGTTAAATCTTGTTATTATATATTATTTATAATTTGGCTACTATAGTTTAAATATCTTGAGTAATGATATTACATAAAGGTAATAACTTCTCACAATTACCTTTGGAATTTTTTTCATCTGAAATTTGGATGTTGAATATGCATTCTAAAATAATGGCTTTTGACAAAAAATAAATGTAATTTTTAATAATCATTATTTTCATCGATGTTTTCATTTTTTATAGTATTAACAAGTTGAAGTGATGTACTAATAAAACAAATAAATGAATAATTCAAGTAATTATAATACTAATACAGCAATAAAATGAATAAACGATTAATTCGATTAAACGAGTAGTTCGAATAAAACAAATAATTCGAATAAAACAAATTGAAATAAGTTGGAATGATTTAGATATGGGCTTTTTTATATTCGAATTATTCGTTTATTTGAACTATTCAAATTTATTCATTTATTCGTTAATTTGTTTTATTCGAATTATTCGTTTATTCGTTTTATTCGAATTATTATTATCAAATTATCAAATTATTAGTAACTAGTATTAGTTACTCATTTCATTCGAATAAACTTTCAATGTAATTCAGAATACTCGGATTCATAACGAGTAAAACATAATTCAAATAAACCTTATTCGAATAGAAATTCTAATCAAGCGGTATAGTCGTATATAGTGGTTTAAACATTGTTGGCTGTGCGCTGGGTAAAGATATGATTTTAATACTAAGCTGAATTGTTGTAATTTATTAAAATCTTATGATGAAATAATTTGAATGAAATAAATGAGATAATTATGATCCATTTTAGGAAGTTGAACTCTCCACAAGTACACTCATTCTAACCATCATGTTTATTAATTAGATATGAAAATTTTTATTAGATCAATTCATTTTTATAAAACAATCTTGTCTTGTGTTATTATGAATGAAATCTATGAAATGTTTTTAATCACCCAAGGAGATACTTCCTGCATGAATACACAGTCTCTAACACTACTAACACAGCTTTTCTTTAGATCATCTAATCTTTTTTACAATGTGATGTTGTCCCATGTTCACATTTCGTTGAAGATTTACATTATTTGTTACAAAGCATTATTACAAAACACCATTGTTATGAAATTTATGAAATGAAATGACATTATTAATATTGATGAAATGAATTCGAATGAATGAAATGAAATAATAATAAGACAATTAATCATCGATTTTTTAATATAAAATATTCCCGTATTTTTTCACAAATTTTTTTTAATAAAAAATTTTTTTGAAAAATCTATAATTTTGTAAAAAATAAAATATGGACTTCTCAAGGTCGCTTCAAAAAGTACATATTATATTCTCATCCATCATCAATTATTATTACTATGGACCACCACAACCATCATGGGACTTAAAGTTTTATTTGATCTTCAAAATTATAAAAGATGAGCTCTCAGCCAGACGAACTATCGAAAATCTTCAAGGAGTATTTAATACCAAGAGTCCTGCCAGGAGTGGTACACTTGTAGATGAGCTGACATTGTCAAATTCGCTTCGTAAAAAATCTGAAGTTTACATTGATGATGTTTTAAAGGATTATAATCATGTGCTTCTTGATGATTGGAGAAGTGTCAATCTCGGGGATGGATTAGAATGTGAATGGGTTTACGTTAAGAAAGAAGAGGAAGGAGAAGAAATAAATCATAAAAAGAAAAAATACAATAAGATTATTATGTATTTACATGGTGGTGGATATTTTTTTTCCTCCCCTGGTCAATATCGTGCCATTACTTCTAATATTGCAAAATATACAAATGCAAGGCTATTTGGTAATTATTTATATGAATTATGAAAAAAAAAAGTGTTAAATTGACTAACAATTTTATTTTCTTCAAAAACTTCAAGTAATAAATTATAGGCTTGCACCACAAAATCAATTTCCTGCTGCTTTACATGACTCAATAACTGCCTACAATTATCTTATTGATCCACCAAGAGATGCTGATTTTTTACCGATTGAACCTAAAAATATTGTAATTATGGGTGATAGTGCAGGTGGTGGTCTAGCAATGGCAACATTACTTGCTATACGTGATAATTCAAAAAAATCATTACCTTTACCAGCTGGTGCTGTTTTGTGGTCACCATTTGTTGACTTGGCTCGCACAACATCATCAATAAAAGATCCAAGATGTGATGAATTAGATATTTTGCCAAATGATTTTTGTGATTGTAAAATGTCTCCCGTGTTGGAAAAATTTGAACAAAAAGCAAAAGAATTATCAGAAAAAATTCAATCAAATGTTGATAATAAACCAAGATTTTGGCATAAGTCATTCGATTTTGGCGGTCGTTTACAATATTATGTGTCTAACGAAGGATTAGCAATTCCGTACGTTTCTCCATTATTTGCTGAAAGTTTGGGTGGTTTACCACCAATTTTAGTGGTAAATGGTTTTTTTTTAAAAAAATTTTGAATGCTTATATACTAAACCTCGTGATGATAAAAAATAATTGTTTGTTATATAGCAAGTAGGTGATGTAGAAAGATTAAGAGATGAGGGTATTTATTTGGCTCATAAAGCTGCTAACCCAGAAAAGTACAATTTGCCCAATTACAATGCTGAAAAATTTGAAAGGTCGTCTTATAAAACACCTACAAAAGTTGTTCTTGAGGTTTATGAAGAAATGCCTCATGTCTTCCATGTAATTTTCACAAAATTTTAATTAATTATGCAAAATAATAGTGGTAATAACAACAAAAATAACAATAATATTTCAAATAGCTATTACTGAACCTCCATTCATCACCAAATATGGCCGTTAAACGAACAGCTGAATTTATTGAACAATTATTATCAGGCAAAGAAAAGAAGCAAGAATTAGAAGTCTTACGTGTAACAAGTAAAGGCAAAATCATTGAAGAGCTGAAAGAAGAGCATTACAAGATACTTGAATGTGAAAATATTGGCGTTGTTTCATCTAATATTGAAAAGGATTATTGTACTAGACCTAACGATGACAATGACAATAAATTGTAAGTGTGATGTTTTTTTGAGATTGCGCATTATTTATTTATCGATTTATTTATTGATTTATTGATTTATTGATTTATATAGGTATACGTTGAAATTGTTTGAAACTTCATTATTAGTAATTGTTGTTTATTTATTTGTAAGAATTTTCTTTTAATCAACAAGGTTTTTTTTAATTTTTAAGCTGAAGCCAGAAAGAAATTGGGAAAACAGTGATGGTTTGTTTTATTCTTCAGAGTTGGATTAAATAAAACATCCTGAACTTTTCTTTTTTTTTCATTGAAATTTCTTTCCACCTTCCTTCTAATTGGCATCCTTTTAAAGTTATCACCCGAGCATATTTGCTCGATATACATCACTTGGTTCATTGATATTTTAATGATCCTATATTCCTCGTAAAATATGTAAATGTGTATTTTTATTATAATATACAGAAGATATTATGTTTCCATATTTCTAAAAAAAAATATATAATTAACACACAAAAGATAGAAGATATTATGTTTCCATATTTCTAAAAATATATTAACAAATTAATAATGTGTTTACGTTTAGTTGGCACCATTATCACTAACAATGTAATGTATTCAATGATTTTATTGATTTCTTTTACCAGTATAGGAAGTAGAAAAAAAATCTGAAATGCAATATTAATATGAAATTCAAAGGGTGATATTTGTGATGTTATCAATCTTTTAATTGCATCAATTTATTTAATACACGACTATCCAAATTGTGCAAAATTTATTTCTCTGGCATTAAAAATTTTTACAAAATTCCTTTACGCAAAAAAGCATACAGTTCATCCTCTATAACGAACCTTCCATCCCTATATGTAATTTTTCTGTCTTTGTTCGTTATAGAGAGAGAATATAAAAAAAAATTTCGTCCAAATATTAACTAGCCAAAATTTACCAATTATAAAAAACATACATAATAAATATATCATTCGGTTCTTTAAGATTACAAATATAAATTCATGCTTTTAAAATTTATAGAACTTGATCAATTAAAAATTTTGATCCCTTTCCCTCTCCAAATATTTCCTTTCAATTTGTTTTACTTTCTTGGTTAAAAATTGTTAAATCTTGCTTATTATTTTCGCTAATAATTGTTGCTAAATTTTGTTTAATTAAGGCGTTATATGAAATTGTATTATACTTTTGTCCTATATAATTTTTTTCAAATACAGAGATTATTGATTAGTGTTTCCACAGCAATCATGGATGTAGTAACCTTTCGATTCTCTGATATTTCATTGATTTAAATGGAATTTTTAAATACAATATTAAAATTTTTCTATAATGCTTTTTAAATTTCTTCTTTGTATTCATCTAATATTTTTTTATAAGAGCTGTTAATATACATACATCCAAATACACGCACATATATACATATAAAATCTCCTCGAAAAAATTTAAACAAAATAATCAAACTCCAACCCTTTGAGTGTAAAAGATGACAACAACGATTGGCAATCTTAATTTTAATTGTATCAGTTTAAAAGAAAAATGTGCAAGTATTCAATATTCAAGTTAATAAAAAGCAATAGTTGTAATTTAGCAAGTTGTGAAAACATGTTGCTTCGAAGACTATTTATTATTGACAATCTATCGACTAGATTCTTATAATTTATCATCATACTAAATTTTTATGACAAAAATTAGAAAGTAATGAACATGGGATCAGAAAGTTGCTACAATGGAAAAATTCCCAGGAAGAAGAGTATTTATAGCATGATGATGATGATCACATGACTTTAAAAGCTTATAATTCTTTATTAAAAAGTAAAAAAAAAGTAAACCAGAATTAAAGCTAAAGACCTAAGTTTCGTTTCCATCGGTTTACTTTTTTCATTTTATTAGAAAAGTTTGGGTTATAAGGCTTCAAAGTTAGGCCATTTTATATGTCTATATGTAAATCGGAATGATCTTTCCTAAAATGCTGATGATCTGCTTATAAATTTTTCACAATAAAAGAAATAAGAAAGATCTAAAATTTTAAATTTCGGACTGAGACATTTATAGATGACTTGAACCATATCAACTAAACAGGAGAGACCGTCCTATATAAGGAAAGGATGTTCACAATTGATTTCAATTTTTTTTATACAGTTTAGAATACTTTTACAAGGGTATTACG